ATTGAAAACGATGTTGGACCGTGGCAAGACGAGCGAGCCTTGTGCTCATGAAACCACTGAGCAGGCAGAGGAACGTCTCCACCCGAATTGTTTTGCACAGCTGGCTCCGGACACGGAGTCTGAAGAAGAGCCACCTTCTCCCGCGGACCGAGGGCATCGGAATCTCGAGGGTCTTTTGGTTCGCATGAAAGGTGTGGGTAAGAAGAATCGCAAGGACAAGCTGGGCATCGTGCAGGACGTTGCTGATGATGTTTGTTCTGTGTTCTGTCATGGTGAAGTTCACAGCGTGCCAGCGGATGATCTTGACATCGTGAGCGAAGACGAGCTGGCGGAGATCCGCGGAGAAACGCTATCCTTCCAAGCAGCAAGTTTCTTGCTGGACTCTCGGTTGCTGTCATTGACACATTTTGGCTCGCTGGTTGGCTCGTCCTTGTGTGTGTGGGCTTCGTAAATTCCTGTGTCGTTTTCGGCACCTCGTGCACTCGTAGTTTAGGTGCGTACAATAGGGACGCTGACAGTGGCAGACATTCCGGAAACTCCATTGCTCGGGCAATCACAGAGAACCTTGTAAGGCCGGTATACCTGGGCCCTAGAAAACGGGGTTCCTTATCATTAGTGCTGTCATTCCCGTTGTTATTTGAATCTCTATTTTGCTTTATACAGCTGCCAAGTTTGTAAAATTAGGTAGTTTGGGGTTAGGGTAGTCTTTGCCGTTACAGCGCCTGCTAGCCAGACAGAAATTGGAACATCCTACGGTTGATGATATAAATCCTGCATAACCTTAAGGATCCTAAACTATGGGAAGTATGGGTGTATTCCTTGTTATGGCTAATGCAGGATTTATATCATCAACCGTAGTGCCTGCGGGGAGCCCTTGTGCCATACATGGTTTGTCCAAGTGTTAACTCAGAGATCACGATACTTGGAGGGTCGTGGGACTTATTCGTGTCATCACCCCAGTTAGGATCCCATTCAGGGAAGGTACTTGTAAGTCTGCTTACTATCCCCCCCCGACCCTCCATCTCTGCCCAGTGCATGGAAGGTTGCCCTTTTTTCAGCTTGCCCCAGTTCTTCAGGAATGCTAGCTGCTAGATCCTCCCATCCGCAACGTGCCGTTCCCGAAACCCGAAACCCTAAACCCCAACGCGGCTTGGAGTCTTGCAAAGCCCGCTGAGCTTCCCAGGCAACATCCTTCAAAGTACCCTCGCAGGAACCACGCTAAACCCTAAACCCTCAAATGTCCTCTGGAGCCCCCAACCTCTAAGGACCTGGAGGAATTGCACACTGAGATCATATCCGCCTGGGAGGTCAGCCAAGCCCAATCTAAGCTTCAACGGCGTAGAGCTTATATGCTTTAAACTTCAGGTTTTCCGTTTCAATATTCAGGGTTCAGACCTTTTAGAGTTTAGAGGATTTAAGTTGAGGCTTTCGATTTCGAGCCTTGGGATGGTGGCTAGCACTTCAGTGTCAAAGGTTTAGGGTTTTGGCTTCCGTGAAGGTCCCCTTAAACGGGACCGTTCTTAGCCCTACTTATGGCTCTCTCAAACGGGACCTTGTTGAGAGGGGCTGTCTCCCCAAGGGTGCCCCTAATCCTAACCCCTTATGAGTCGGCGAAATAACTTGTAACACATCGCCGCGCTTGCCACGAAATGAATTACCCGTGAAACTTCTTGTAGGACTTCTTTGTCGGAGAGGGCTTGGCGTGGCACGCCTAGGTCTTTGAATGATCACTTCGCGAGTAGGGATTCGCATACACATGATTTACGCATGTAATGTATGTAATGTATGTATGTATGTATGTATGTATGTATGTACGCATGTATGTATGTATGTATGTATGTATGTATGTATGTACGTATGTATGGATGGATGTATGCATGCATGCATGCATGCATGCATGTATGTATGTATGTATGCATGCACGCATGCATGTATGTATGCGTGGAAGTTTATGCTATACAGTATTAACTATACAGAATGGACCCTGCCATGTGTAAATCGAGAGGTATACAAAGGAATGCACACACAAACATACATTACATGTAGTTGCATGAAAAGACATGAATATACCGTAAGTATACACACCAAAAAACATACATATACGACCGTACAAACCTAGACGGCAAGGAAACCATGAGTCTGAATTCATACATATGTAAGCATCTGGAAAACGTGTGTACATATACACGCGCACACACACACACCGTGCAGAGTATCCTCTACAGTTTCTCTTCAGCTTCCACCCCTATAGTCCGCTGGTCAAACCATGGATCCATCGAGACTCCTTGAGATGTTGACGTCTTGGCAACAGATTTTCAGAGGCTCTCGCAGCCAAGAGCCCGTGAGCATTGTCTAGCGATGCCAGCACGTCAAAGACCTTGACACAACTTCATCGAAGCGCTTCAACAACCGTACTTCAAGGATCCTGGGGCTTCGTAACTCGAATTGTAAACGAGACAACCATAGCTTTAAAGACTAAATTGCAACCCCGATTAGGGTCGGAGCTTCCATTAGCTCCAGTGCCCTGGGAGGAGTACGCCCAGGGGCGGCTCAGCTTGCCTGCGGCCGCGGCCAAGACTAACGTTTGCGTCCGCCAGGTGGGAATTGGTTCTGGGCTTGTAAAGTTTATAAACCCTAAATCGTGAACCCTCAGTGCCCAGGACCCCGAAGAAGCCCTAGAGCGTGAATCCTCACCCAGGATTCGAAATCAAGGTTCGGCTATTTCAGCATTCTATTCATCACTATTCAGGAGTCGTAGTGAAATTTCGACTATTCAGCCATTCTACTCCTTACTACCAGATGAGCCGATTTCAGGTTGCAGAGTTTCAAGCTTAACGATCCGCTGCAGTTGGGAGGCAAACGGAGGTTGCCAAGCGTAAGGAACCAAACCAGGTAACACTCGAAACTTCGAACCTGGGCTCGCATGACCTTAGTATAGAGGCCTAAATGTAGTCAGTCTTCAGGGTTCCTTAGTTATCATTAGAGTAGAATATTCCAAAAAGCCTATTCAAATGATCACCGCACCTGTCTGACACAACTTTTCGAAAGATGCCGATCGTTGTTGACTTCCTGCTAGGCGAGTGTCACTTCCCAACGAGGATTCAAAGAATAGAAGCCTTGGACAGGACCCTAAGCCTGAAGCCCTTAAACCCTAAACCCCTAAGTAAACCCCTAAGCCCTATCCCCTAAACCCGAAGCCCCTAAACCCTAGTTCCTGTCTTGACACGTAGAGTGGCAGGGTCCTTATTTCGGGATTCCATTCCTCAGAGCCTTGAATGGTCCCAGGCGTCCACACACCCAACAACGCGGTTACTCGGGTTAGGGTTTAGGGGGGTTTAGGGTTTAGGGTTTAGGGGTTGAGGGGTTCAGGATTCAGGTTTGGGGGTTTAAGGGTTCAGGGGTTTAGGGTTATGATCGTCGTGTGGATATGTTTGTACTTAGCCGAGCATGTGATTCGTAGGTATTTGAACCCGAAGCCCTAAATCTAGTTACTGTAACCCTATAACAGTTATAGCAGCCTTGTAGAAGGTCTTTATACCTTATAGAAGCCCTATATACCCTAAACTCCCCAGCTGTAGTTTCCTTTAACAAAACCCTAGACATCATCCAGGCCTCCGCTTGGGCTGCCAGCCTTGAGCTGCTTCAACCAGAGCTTCACAGCTTGGAACGGGTCATCGTGGCAGCATACCTGCTGGATGTGACCTGGCCTTCTTTGTGTTTGTCAGTTCTCTTAGATAGCCGCTGGGAGAACTTGAAGCTTTTCGTCCTTACCCATTTGGTCTATCTTGGAAAGTTCGAACTGTTTCGGTCCCGGTTATTGAGCAGGGCGAACGAATCATGAGTTTGGAGTTTGGACCATGAGGCCTGCGCAAAGGACAATTTAGTCGTTCTTTTCTTGTGTGTGGCCTTCGTCTAGTAAACGGAGTACTTCAAAAACACAACAGCGCTGAGATTACGTTGATGGATATGAATTGACTGCAGACTACAGACAGACAAAGCCTCTGAGCGAGTAGTTCGGACAGAGACTCAGGTCGTGCAGTGGGCGCAGGACCAGTTGGACACGTCATTTGCAAGAGCTTTGGGACTGGTAGTGCAGCTGGTCTTCGGTGATCAGGATGAGACACTTAGTAGCTGAATGGCTGCACTTTAAACTTTTCGGGATAATATAGTTTTCTATAAAACTGAAAGTGTAGACTTTTTTGGGCTCATGAACTCAGAAACTAAGGACAAGAGTTCATGCGTTTGGGCCCAACCGCCTAGTGCACGGGACCATGCTGGCCATGGCTCGGCTCAGAGAACCGGATGGCTTCTTAGATAGCCAATGGGTTTAGGGTTTAGGGGTTTAGGGTTTAGGGTTTAGGGTTTAGGGGTCTATCCTAAAAAGTTTGAACTATTTTTGGCCTGGTTGTTGAAGAAGAGAGGTTTTGAGCTCCGGAGGGCTGGTGAGGGCATCCGCAAGCGATGGCCGACATGCAGTCCCCTCCAGGCGCTCGTGTTGTTCTACAAAGCCCTGAGCCCTAAACCGGGCCGGGGGACTTAGTAAGTAGGTAATAAGTAGGAAGTAGATTTACAAGTACTTTAATTAAAAGAGACCCTGATTGAGGTTATGAGACTTAAAATGTCTTTACAATAGCTACTTACTAAGTCCACCGACCCTCCAAGTAGTGGTACGTCTTCAGAAGTTAACCTAAAAGCAGGAGCCAAAATTCCGATCAGCCCTCAGGCAGAACAGCTGATTCATGTGGTCTCTGAAGACTGTTGCAGACGCTTTCTGTGCATACGGGGGATTCCGGGGCTTGCAACTGATGCTGACGATTCTAGGTTCTTGTTAAGAGATTTTATTTGAGTTCTCATAATAGGGATCTATAGTAAACAATAGGGTTTCCCTATTATGGTAACTTAAGTTAGATCCCTTAACAAGAACCCAGGATTTTCTGGTTGGGGCCAACGGCCTGGTACACACGTCTGACTTTCTGCTTCGACTGTCGAATGCTGGGTTAATGACACCTCCGAAGAGGTGCTTGTGGGCCCAATAACCTACTCTTGGCTATATACCCAGGTACTTTTGTTGTCATTCCTACAGGTGGAACTTCCTGAAGCCGGATCACTTTGGACCCCAGTGGGATGAGAAGGAAAGGCCGGCATCGTGCACGTCGGATTTGACGAGCTATTCTGGAATGGTGATCCCTGCGTTGTTGTGGTATGCACATTATGAGCTTCGCACCTCTAAGACGCAGCAACTTCAGGTGCCGGACCTGAAATTCGATTCCCTCATGCCCTTGTGGGGCGTGCTGCAAAAGGCCATGGCTGCCGGTCGCACCTCCATGTCCCTGGCCTTTGCCATGCATGCCCTGATGATTTCGACTGTGAAGGTAAACGGGGAGCAGCGTTGCGCGCGCATTGCAGTGACTTGCCGGGCCAACTTCTCGAAGTTCGTGTCTCAGCTCGAGCGCGATCACGAATTCTACGACCACCCCTCTGCAGCACACAACTTAACGATTCTGGGTCCTTGTTGGATACAATTTTACATGCGTTTGTTTTTGTAACACCCTAAGAAGGATTACCATCGGGAACTAGGGAGCCAGGATTGGGAAGCTGTGGGTGGATGAAGCTGAGAAGCGCATGCGAGCTACACCGCCTGGTGGAGAGCAGGATGATCTTCTGAAACAGATTGGATGCTTGCAGCGTGATTACGCTTTGCTTCTGAACCCATGGGTGGCAGGACAGCAGCAGCTCGTCGCTCTCGTAGCTGTTGCCATCGGCATCGGTAGCTCCGTTGTGGACAGTCGCGGTCAAATAAGATTCGTGCTGCACCTCTACAATGCGCTGCGTTGTGCGGAGGCTGCTCTCGACCAAAATGCTACGGTAGCATGAACTCTTGAGACCTGCCCCCTTTGTAAGGGGCGTTGCCAGAGAGAGTTCGTACTTAGCTCTTCTCTTTTGCTCCTAGGTGGTGCAGTCGTTGCCGATGTTGGACTGGCTTCTCGAGATCTTTCGAAGTTCCAAGGCCATTTGGCATGCTGGGCGCCCAACAGAGGACTTCCTGCAACATTGGTACCTCTCTCTGGGCATGGCGGTGTCTTCAGAAACTTACATCCCTGCTAGATGCACTTTCACTTGGTTATAAGTACTAAGACTTGTGTGGGTGCAAAGCGAAAACTTGTTGCGTCAAGCAAGCTGAACTTGTAAGGAGAGAGGCAGCTCCTTGCGCAGCCAACGGGCACTGGTCCCAGTTGATGCCGCCGAAATTAGTCCCTCGTATCGGCGAGCATCTTGCTCGCCCTCAAGCACCGTTTCTGCTCCACAGAGCTTTCGATAGTCGCCGACTGGCAAACAAGGTGCTCTTCTTGTTGCTTAGGATGCCCGGATACCTCCCTAAACCCTAAACCCAGGTGGCGAACGCTGACTTCAGGGACCTCTCAGATCACCGGAGGACGCTCCACGGAATTCTGCAGGCAACGAGTTCAAGTTTCGAGGAGGACAAACTGTTTCGGTACAACCTTTTCGCCCTTGGCGCCCACTTCCGCCAACTGCCCGAAAAGCTCGTGCGGGCTTTGCAGCTGGAATTGAAAGTGCTGGAAGAGCAGGGGAGCCGCCCAGACGGTGAGCAGCGACGGCGCAAGTCGAAGAGCAAGAAGGATGCTGACACAAGCAAGGACGAGGCGACCAAGCGGGTAGACGCGGTGCATGTGGTGCTGGCAGGTGAGCTTTTCTTTGCCTGCGAAAGACCTGAGAGTGTGGAAAAGATGGCAGGAAAGCTAGGCTACAAGGCTGCTTCTGAGGCAAGAGAACGCCCACAGGACGAGAAGCCACAGCTACGGACGGCTGCTCAGGTGCTTGCAGAGCATGTCGGCGCACTGAGTAAAGCGAGCTATATGCTGCCCTCCTGATCAGTGAATTGAAAAGAGGCCAGCATACCACGCAAGATGGTTTAGGAGGTTTCGCGTTTAGGGTTTAGGGTGGCTAAACCCTAACCCCTCCTATGAAGGGGTCGTCGGACTTCGGGAATGACGATCCGCTCCCCTGCCGCTCAGAATCATCCTCTAAAACTCCACGTCCGTTCGACTCCGGTCGTTTCCCTGAAGCCCCCATGAGAGAAAGCAAAGGGTCTTCGAAGGATCCAACAAAACCCCCGCTCCCTTCAGTGCGGATTCTGCTAGGTGGGTTGAGGTTTTCGGTTCAGGCAACTGTCGGCGCTCTTCTTCACCAGAGCAGCATCGGGCCAAACCCTAAGCCGTAAACCCTAGGCCGTTAACCCTAAAGTCTAAGCCTGGTTGAGGGTCTGTAAATTTTTAAAACGAAGACGGCTGCTTGGACGTCTGTCCTAACACAGAGAAAAAGGCAACGGCTCAGGAATGTTGGGCTCCCGGGGTTATTCCTTAAAGACGACATGAACCCTAAAAGGGCTTCAGGTTCATATACCATGTAGGGATTCATAGTATAAGGGTATAGGGCCCCTACTTTTAAGGGTCTTTTGGTCCTTAAGGTTGTTTGGGCAGAGCTTCGCGTCTTGGAGGGCCAGGGATGGCAGCTAAACCCCTAACCCTAAAACCTGAAATACTCTGAGCCCTAAACCCTAAAACCCCAAATACCCTAAAAACACTGAAACCTAAACTACCCTAAACTTTAAAATATCCTAAGCCCTAAACCCTAAAGCCTAAATGCCGGAAGCCTAAACCATCTCAACCGGACTTCGGGTCTCATTGCCTAGGATTTCAGGCCCAGGACTCCGGGGGTCACGGTCCGCCCGGAAACGGAGGTAGGCAGAGGTTCTAAGGCTTTTGGGTCTAGGGCTGTTTGGGGTTTAGGAGTTAAGATTTATATTCAAGAAAATCACGAAGCCTACAGGAGAACGTTCAACTCCCTGGGTTTCCTCTTTTTTGGCTTCTATAGTGAAGTCTAATTTTTTTTTTGGGGGGGGGCTTTGAGTATAGGAGAACAGAGATAAGGCAGATAAGGCTTATTATAACTATGGGTGCACTGTATGAACCCCTCATGCAAACCCCATTCTAGTTTTCAAGCCCCCTTTTTTCGGCTTCCGGGTTGTGCGTTCAGGGTCCCAGAATGAGAGCTGGTGACGGCGGCAGGGCTCATGCTGACGAGCTATGCAGCACTTTTCTGCCGCAAAACTCGAAATCTCCGGACCCTGCTCTTAGTAAGTAGGTATAAGTAGGTTATAAGTAGACTTAAATGTACCCTAAAAGGATCCCAATTGGGGCTTATGGTACTTATAAGTGTATAAAAAGAACTACTTACTAAGTCCCCCCGACCCTCCAAGTGGAACTACCCTCAACCCTAAACCTTAAAACCCTCTCCCTCAGCCCCTAAACCCTAAACCCTAAACCCTAAACCCCTCTCCCTAAACCAGCCTGGAACCCTTCAGTCCAGAACTGTAAATCTGTTCAAACCCTAAGGGTCCAAGTACCTAATATTCATACACTCTCCCAAATAGTAACCTACATAACTACTATCCGAAACCTAACTA